ACCGGGAGCACCACACGAGCTGACCTGCGATAGGCAAACTCGTGCTCTGAACCGTGGCCACCTTTGAAGGCCAGAGCATGGCGTAGACATGTACTTTATGAGGTCCGCGCGGGATTCTGTGGACCCTCATCCCCTCCCTGGCGCGCGGAGCGCGCGAGTGGCTGCGCAGGAGGCGCCGCCAGGGGGGCCCAGCGCCGATCCAGTAAATCCGCGCGGAGCTAATAAAGTTTATGTTCCTCAAATTTTGGTCCCTCGAGCCTTGAACGACTCGCCCGAGTAGCACCCCATGTTGGCGTCCATCATCTGCAGGAAGTGGCCCTCGGCGAAGCGCAGCGCGCCCAGCTGGTTCCCCGACTTGCCCTGCGTGAGGTTGCCCTCGGAGCCGATCAGCAGCCCACGGGCCCTCGGGAGCACGTGGACCACCTCGACCGGCCACTCGTCCTGCTGGCGCTCGTCCCTTCCGCCGACGCGGAAGTAGCGGTACTTGATCAGGACGCTGGCGTACTTGAACATCACGCCCTCGTCCTTGTGAGGGGCGTTGGGGAGGGACCGGCGCAGGGGGGGAGGCATCGGGCTGGAATCGGCGGTACATCGCCGGTGGATCGGCGACAGGCCCCCGACAGCGAAACCGCACGTTCCTCGGCGGGATGGGCTGTTGGGACCCTGTCGGCGATCAGTGGGCGACTGGGGGTCGATGCGGTCCGCTCTGAGCCTGCCCCCCCCCCAACGTTGCCGCTGATCCTTGCTACTGCCCCGTACGTGCTGGTCAATCAGCTCCTCAAGGCGAGGATGTGTCTTTCCGCGCTGGAAGTCGATGGCCACAAAGAACGGGTAGCCTTTGTGCTTACTCAACATGTAGTGCAAATCTTGGTCGCGCTTGTTCGCCTCCACCTTCTCACACATCACCTGACCGCCGTTCGCAGAGCAACCTACCAAAGTCACCCTCTGGTCTTCCAAGACGCTGCCGACTGTGTAGAAAGCCCCGCTGACGAAGTCCTTGAAATCGGCTGCAGCGCCACCGGCCGGGCCCGTGCGACTCACGGCGCTAATCTCGCCCAGCCTCACCTCGCCCTCCGCGACCTGCTGCAAGCCCCCGGCGGCCTCGATGGCCGCGATGAGCGTGTACTTCAGCGTGCTGCTTGATCCGAGCTGCCCTTCCAGGTGCGCGACTATGGTGGATGGCGGCGGCGTGATCGTGCACTCGACGCTGATGGCCGGCTCGAAAATCCGCGGGCTCCCCTGTGGGGCCTACAGGATGTGAGCAATCGAGTTGCACTGGCTTCGCTATTGATACTGTGGTGATGTGAGGGGTCGAGTGCAGTAGTTGTCTCTGCCCCCCATTGTAAGACTCCCCCTACGTAGACACTAGCATGGATCCGCGCACCCAGGGCTCTGATCCTCTGTAAAGACGATAGCTGAGCGCAAACCAAAGAGACGATTCCTGGCAAATGGCGGTAAGTCGTTCCCAAGGCTGATCCTGGCAATCCCCCTTGATTATCGTAGAAAGTCTCGCGGGGCTGCGATCACTTATAAATTATACTGAATATGCACTCCCAGGGGGACGACCCCTGGTAAATATTCAAGAGTCCGCGCTACCAGGGCCACGATCTGGTAAATTACCCCTGGATAGACGCTCTCAAGGCCACGATCCCAAGTGAATCACGCTGGATCCGCGCTGCCAGGGCCACAATTCCTTGTAGATCAAGCTGGATCCATGCTGCCAGGACTACGACCCCTGGTAAATTACACAGGATCCGCGCTCCCAGGGCAACTACAGTCATCGTGCTGCCGCAAGGAACGCCAAATGTGGAACGAAGGGGCGTTCTGGCCACGGCGAGCCTCGGCTACGAATAGGCCCCCCGACCTGGATCTAAGGAAGGGCCCGAAAAGCATAGCTCTCGTGAGGCCAGAGCGCTGTCTTTCTCGACGTCCTGGCCGCATACTTCGTGCCTTGCGCTGGGCCCACGCTCCCAAAACAGCACCTTGCAGTCTACGTGTTTGTTTTGTCCCATTGCGTGTGTGTTTTTTCCCCACAGACGTGTGGTTTTTGTTTGTTGTGTGTGTGTGTGGTTTTGTGTGTGTGTGTGTGTTGTTTGTGTGTGTGTGTGTGTTGTTTTGCCCACGTGTTTTTTGTTTTTTTTGTGTGCTTTTCCTACAGTTTCCGCGCTCACGGAACCGCGTCCCCTCGTAAACGACGAGCTGGAATCCGCGCTCCTGGGGCCACGGTGCCCTGCAAGCTGCGCTGGCTCCGCGCTCGCGGGGCCACGACGTACACTTCGCTGGCTCCGCGCCCCAAGGGCCCCGACCTCGCGCAAATGTGGCTAGATCCGCGCTCCGAGGGCCGCGATGCCAGGTCAACGACGGCGGGCTCGATTTCCCCAGGCAATGGACCCATGTAAATCACAATGCCGTGGATCCGCGCTCCCAGAGCCACGATCAACGTTCTCAAGGTCACGAGCCATCGTAAATTACGCTGGATCCGCGCTTCCAGGGAGGCGGCCCCTGGTTAATGACAAACGATCCACGCTCCCAGGACCACGCCCCGTTGTAGATTACTCTAGTCTCGAATGTGAGCCCCACAGGACAGCCCTGGATCGGTTACGCAGGATCCGCATCCCGAGGGCCGCGATCCATTCTAAACTACGAAGCGCCCGCGCACTCAGGGCTGGTGACTTACACTGGTTCTGCGCTCGCAAGAATACGATGCCTTGAAAGTTGCGCTGGGTCCGCGCTGACATGGCCACGACCCTGGTAAAATACGCTGGATCCGCGCTCCTAGAGCTATTATCCCTCGTCCGCGCTCGCAGGGCCACGAGTCCAAGGGAATTGCGCTGGATCCGCGCTCCCAGGGCGCCCAAGATGGCCTCCAAGATGCCTCCAAGACGGCCAAGATGACATCCAAGACGGTCAAGATGACAACTAAAACGGCCAAGATGGCCGAAGATGGGCCTCAGAGGCTTCCAAGATGGCACCAGAGGCTTGCAGGAGGTCTTCCAGGAAAGCCCGAGGAAGCTGAAATGATTGGTTTTCCTCAGGTGTTCGAAGGTTTCTGGATTTTCCTCCATTTTCATGGTCTGACCGCCCAAGACGGCCCAAGGGGCCCCAAAATCGCCACAGAAGCCTCCAAGATTGCTCCAGAACGGCCCAAGAGGCCCCCAAGCCATCATCAAGAGGGCCCCAAGATAGCCCTAGAGGCCTCCAAGACGCTCAAGATGGCCTCTAAGATGCCTCGAGACGGCCAAGAAGACCTCCAAGACGGCCAAGATGGCTTCCAAGATGGTCAAGATAGCCCCAAGAGAGCCGAAGGTGGCCCAAGATGGTCACAAGATGCCTCCAAGACGGTGCCAGAGGTCCTCCTAGAAGGCCCGAAGAACGCAAACTAATCGATGAGCCTTCGAATCAGCCCCCAAGACAACTTCCGACGGCGTCAGACGGGCCAACAACGCCCTAAGACGGCCAAAGAGGCCCCCAAGAAGCCCCCGAAGGCCCCCAGCAGGCCCAAGGAGGCCCCGAAGAGGCCTCCAAGAGGGCCCCCAGGACGCATCCAGCAAGCCCGAAGAGGCTCCCAAGAAGCCTCCTCCTCCTCCTCCTCCTCCTCCTCCTCCTCCTACTCTTCCACTTCCTCTTCCTTTTCGTATTCAGTATCCCCCCACGTGTTGCCCGAAGGTTTTCCAGACCGACTCGGGGACCTCATGGTCCTATAGCTTGGCCAAGCTCTAGCCCAACTTTTGGCCACGTAGGCGTTTCCAAAAAGGCAGGGGGCGGCGGTGATTCGCTGTAGGCGTCTTCGATGCGTGGGAGCCGCGTTCCAAAGACCACGACCCTTTGTAAATTATGTTGGGTCCATCCTGCCAGGGCTACGAACTCTTTTGAATCACACTGGGTCCGCACCCGAAGGGCCACGATCCCTCGTAAGATACGCTGGGTAAGCCCTCCCGGGACCACGATCCCTTGTAACTGACCGTGGCTCCACACACCCGGGGCCACAATCCCATGCACACGTACACACAGTGTGTCTCCGATCCCCCCCCCCCCCCCTGGAAAAAGCAATACATCATTGTTTATCCCCCCCGCCTGACCCCCGATCTCAAGGTTGAGTCAGCCGCGGCCGACGGCGCGAACGATGAGATGGAGCCGCGGGAAGGCGGAACGCGCGCGAGAGTCGCACGCTGGATCTCAGCGGCCCCAGAGCTCGCGAGAGCGCCCACATCGCTCAAGGATCGCTCGGAAGAGGGCCTCTAGAAACCAAAACAGGTTCGACAAGAGACACGCATGAGATTCGGAGGAGGCGCTGCGACGACCCGAGGCGGACCAAGTGGACCCTCAGGGATTCATGAGGGCGCAGTACAGTGAGGGCTTTGAATTTCAATAAAGAACCCTGGACAAGGAATCTGGGGTCTGAAAGCCGGTTGAACAAACTTGAGGCCTGGCCATGGATGTCACCGCCGCCCTCGGCAGACAAGGAGTCCTCCGGGGTCTGAAGCCTCATGGGCGCATGCCTTAACAGACGCCCCCAGCCGTAACAGCGATGAGGCCCCCCGGGGCTCTCCGAAGTTGGCTCCAAAAATGATGCCTCGAGCCTCCCAGGACGAGGACAGGAGCGGCAGGAGGCCCAGGGCGAAAGGAGGAGGAGGAGGAGGAGGAGGAGGAGGAGGAGGAGGAGGGAGGAGGGAGGAGGGAGGAGGGAGGAGGGAGGAGGGAGGGAGGGAGGAGGGAGGAGGGAGGAGGGAGGGCAGGGGGGCCGGCGGCAGTGGCCAAAAGGCCCTCCGATCCTGCTGGGTCCAGCCGAGGATTCCAAGCAGATCCCCACCCGCGTTGGCAGCGCCCTCCACCGCCGACGTCGTCAGCGTCACGTGCTCGAGACCGATCGCGCCGGCGCTCTCGTCCACCACCGCCTCCTTGACCGCAGCCTCGAGGGCCTTGGCGGCGGCCTTGTCTGCGACCAGCTTGGCGTGGTCCACGTTGACGATAGTGTTAAGTCGGGCGTGTCCCCCGACAGGGGGAGTCTCGACGAAACATAAAAATGCCCCCAAAATATTCCAAAATGGACAAAAAATAATCAAAAAATAATCCCCAGACTATTTGTTTTGAGTATCTGGGAATATCCCCCCTGTGGAGGGACAGGCCCGACTTAACGATAGTGAGCGAGAACACCAGGCAGTTAGGGCGCTCCCTGCTGCCGGCCATCGCCCTCCCCAGCAGGGTCGGCAGGCCGTCCGCGCCGTCGTCTCCCGGCGCCGGGGCCTTCGGCTTCAGGTTGTCCCTGAACTTGTCGACCTGAAGGGGCCCTGGGACACACGAGTAGATGCACACAAGTAGCAGGCTTCCCCACCTTTTCCATATTCTCCAGGGCTTTTTTGTCTTCCCCCCCCCACACTTCCCACATATTCCCATATTGTGGGAGGACTCGACGATTGATGGTGTCCGTGTGTTTTTGTTTCCCTCCTGGCGACCGCCTTCTTGAAGACCAGGCCCCCCGCGAGGTCCATGGTCGAGCGCGCCTGCAGGGACAGGCGCACCGTGTCGCCGGGCTTCAGCCCGTGCGCCCCCCGGAAGGTGAGCATGCCGCTGCGGAGCGTGGCCTTGCTGGCCTTGGACATGCTCACCTTGCCGTACGTCTGGTGCGCGAGGATGAGCTGCACGCGGCGCCGCACGTCCTCGAAGCCGACGCCCTCGCCGCGGTTCAGCAGCAGGTGCAGGGCCCGGTGGTAGTGCACCGCGCCGTTCACGGTGCGGATCACGGACTGGGCGCGGTGCGAGGCCCACTCGCGCACCTGGTCCTGCTGCTGCGGCGTGCACCGCCCGCCGGCCAGCCTGTCGTAGAGCTCGGTCGGGTGCAGCCGGAGGGTCTCTGCGAAGATCTGCCACTCGTCGGGGAACTGCGAGACCAGGAATTCGAGCGTGGTGGCGACGGAGCCGCCCGCGGGCTTGCTCAAGAGCTCCTTGATGCTCATGATCCCGTCCTCGCTGTACACCGGGATGATCTGCGTGAGCGAGGGAATTCGGCCTGGGTGCGTGACGCCAAGTGCGTCGCAGTGAACGTCGCGGTCGTTGCCGCAGTAGGGCGCGAAGCAGATCCGTCTGTTGGACAGGATCTCGCGGTGGCTCGCGAATAAGTACCCGATGCGCTGCATGGCTTGTGGCAGGATGCGCAACGACTCAGAACCTTTCAGTTCCACCATGCCACCGCTGCTCGCCGCGGCCAGCAGTTTGTCGCGCACTGGCTGGTTGACCAGGCAGTCGTCGAAGAGCCCCTCGACCATCACGGCCCACACCTTCTTCCAGTCTTTTCCGTAGATGGCGTGCAGCACAGTGCCGTGCGACACCCACCCAGCCTCAGACTTCCGCTGCCTCCAAGCAATGCCAAGAGGGGTCACCAAACGGGAGTTCGCGACCTCCTCAAGGAAACGGGTCCCTGTGGAGCCCAGGACTCCCGGACACGCTTCAAGAAGCGCCCCACAACCTCCCGATCCTGGCCCTCCCTACGCCCCGAGACTCGATTCCCAGGAGGCGGTGGCGGCCCCGCTGGTCGTGACCCCCTTGGGTGCTGACCGATGCCTGTCGAACTCCGACGAGAGAGAGTACACGGAGAAGTCCAGGGATGAGATGTTGGTCTCGACCAGCCCGCGGGACACGCCGAGGGAGGACCCCATGAAGGCCACGCAGCAGTTGAAGATGAAGTAGGGGATCAGGAGGCTGCCGATGGCCGCGAGCAGCCAGGCGGAGACCACGCTGGTCACGCAGGCGACGCACTGCGTGTCCTGGCAGGGCACCGGCTGTGCGCCCACGCCGATCCTGGCGGAGCCGCTCCTGGGCCGGCCCGAGGATCGGTGCGGGTGCATAGTTGGCGTCCCTCCCGGGGGGTCCTTCCACGTGATGGAGGGAAGGCCGCTGCCCAGAATCAGCTGCCTGTCCTCGCAGAAGTCGTCGTCGCTGTCGCCGATCTGGCACATGCCCTTCGGGGTGAGGGGCCTGGCCATCCCCGTGAGCACTCCGTAGTAGGACACGAAACAGATGAGCCCGAAGACGACCCAGAAGAAACCGATCCGCTTGTGATGCCCCTTCTGATCTGCCGAGTCGTTGAACCTCAGACGCTCTCCCAGACCGTGTTTGGGCAGCAGCCCGAACGCAAACCGCATCAGCAAGTATGCGTACGGCACGAACCAGAGGTCGGTCCTGACACTCTGGGAGCTCATTCCGAGCACGTCCTCGAGCCCAGCCAGATCGTCCAGTGACTGCAGGTCGCCCTCGGCCCAGAGCACCACCAGGGTTATGGGCACCAAGACGATGAGCCTACACAGACTCCCGACGCGTTGGAAACCGAGGACAGGAAGTTTGATGTTGGCGGAGCTCACAGGGGTGCTCACGAATAAACCGCAGAAATTCACGACGCACTGAAAGACAAGGTCCACCAGCAGGACCACGAACTCGGAGAAACGCCGGTCGCCAGTCACAGCGACTCTACCAGAGAAGTTGGAGTCTACGTCGCGCAAGTACAAGGCAATGGCGAACAGCCACAGCACCATGGACAAGGGCCACTGATCCGCCACCGTGCCTTCGACACGTTGGGGCATGCGTATGTTCGAATGGTTCTTCGATGTCTGGTAATGTTTCTGCCATTTTCCAGGCGCGACCCGCCGTTCCACGACCGGGGTCTGCAAGTGGCCCCCTGATCTCGCTGATCTCGGTCTCTAGACGACTTTAAGATGGCCAACGACTGCCCCAACATACCATCCAAAGACGGCACCACGAGACCCACGAGCCTCTCAGAAACTCCAAGACCTCCCCAAGCCGCCCCAATGATGATCCAAGCGACGCCCAAAGAGGCCCCCAGCGAGGCCATAAGAGACAAACGGCGCTGGACAGATTACAGCACATCAATGATATTGTTTGCTTCCAAGGCTTTGCGGTGTCAGATCGCCTCGGGAAATCTTCAGTGAGCTTCAACGAGTCTCTAAGACTGCAGAAGACGGCCCAACGAGCTCCTCAAGACGGCCCAACATCGGGCACAGAAATTTCCAAGGCGCTTCAGCCAAGTGTTTTCGGGAAAGCTCTCTGGAACCGTCGTGCCAAAGACGGCCCAGGGACTCACGGGTCCCACCATGGCCCTAAGTATCCTGGCGAAGGACCCAACCATATGCAATTGTGGAACCGCGCTTGTGAGTTACACCCTCGGTGGATCTCCATGTGGGCCCCGAAACGTGTGAGGGGCGTACCGAAATATTTGCGATGGCGCCATGTGAACCCTGCCACTGAGGCCTTCGGTGGAGCTCGCTAGGGGCCGCGAAACGTGTGAGCGGTGTGCCGAAATGGGTGCGGCGGCGTCATGCGAACCCTGCCACTGAGCCCTTCGGTGGAGCTCCCTGTGGGGCCTCGCAGCGTGTGAGGGGTGTGCCGAAATGGGTGCGGTGGCGCCATGTGAACCCTGCCACTGAGGCCTTCGGTGGAGCTCCCTTCGGGGCCACGCAACATGTGAGGGGTGTGCCGAAATGGGTGCGGTGGCGCCATGCGAACCCTGCCACTGGGAACACATCGGTGCCCCTTGCGGGGCCACGAAACGTGTGAGGGGTGTGCCGAAATGGGCGCGGTGGCGCCATGCGAACCCTGCCACTGGACCATCGGTGGAGCTCCCCATGGGGCCACGAAACGTGTGAGGGGTGTGCCGAAATGGGTGAAGTGGCGCCATGCGAACCCTGCCACTGAGGCCTTCGGTGGAGCTCCCTATGGGGCCGCGAAACGTGTGAGGGGTGTGCAGAAATGGGTGAGGTGGCGCCATGCGAACCCTGCCACTGAGGCCTTCGGTGGAGCTCCCTATGGGACCTTTGGTGGATCTCCCTATGGGGCCACGAATCGTGTGAGGGATGTGCCGAAATGGGTGGGGTGGCGCCATGCGAACCCTTCCACTGAGGCCTTCGGTAGAGCTCCCTGTGGGGCCACGAAACGTGTGAGGGGTGTGCAGAAATGGGTGCGGTGGCGCCATGCGAACCCTGCCACTTGGGCCTTCGGTGGAGCTCCCTATGGGGCCACGAAACGTGTGAGGGGGTGCGGCGACACAGAGACACGCGAAGAGCAGAGGCGAGGAGGGGGGAGGTAGGAGGGAGAGGAGCGCGGGAGGTGAGGTGAGGTGAGGAACGCGGGGCGCTGTCTCCTCAAAACGAGGACCCCAAACCACAGGATGGTTGGGAATCCCCAGCAGGGTTCTAAAACACCCCAAAGCAGCCCCCTAACGAAGCCTCCAGTATGCCTTCAAGAGGAAAGAGGGTGAGGAGGAGGAGGAGGAGGAGGAAATGTGACAGGAAGAGGAGAACGAGGCTGCGGACAAGCAGGGAGTACTCAAGACCCGCGCCAATTCACACAAGGCACTGAACTGGAGAGGGTCTTGCCCTCAAAGTGATTCCTGTTGCGCTGCGGTGCTGGCGCAAGCAACTGGATAATTCACGACGGTGTTGCACAACACCAGCGGGCCCGCGGGCTCCCGGAATGTCTTCGTGAGGCCCAAAGGCTGCGGCGCGCCAGGGTTCGATAAACCATGGTCGTTCATGTCATCGAAATTTATCCCCTGTCGTTTTGCGAAGACGTTGGAATTCCGGCAGAACTGCTGCAAGGGCTCACAAAGATCTGTGTAATCGACGTCGACGCTGAACGAGCAGGGTTCGTCTCCGGATGCCGGGGTCATCTTCAACGACCCAAGGGCCCTCTGGTACACGCACGCGATCCATTCGGGAGCGTGGATCATGTGCTCGCCCACTGACTCCAACAGGCGCAGCAGCAGTGCCTCTGCGAAATAGCGCTGGAAGGAGTCGTCCTGTGAGAATACCAAAAGGTGCCAACACCGCCACTCCCCGGACCTCTCCAGGGGTGCGCTCTGAACAGAATTTCGAGGCGAATCCAGCCGTGGTCAAGATGGCCTCCCAGGAGGCCCAACAAGACCCATACAAGGGAGGGGTAGCGGTAGCGGTACCTTCGGGCTGCTCAGGGTAGCGCTCTGGCAGATACCTTCGTGGTGCCCTGGGAAGCGCCCCTGTAGGCAGTTTCGGGCGCCTCAGGGAGGAAGCGCCCTGGCACGTCTTCTTGGGGCCCTCGTGGAAGCGTTCGGAGGGGCACTCCATCCTCCCCCTGGTCCTCGTACTCCAGAGAGCCGCCGAGCCCGTGCGTGCCCTGCCACCTGTGGACTCCCTCGCAGGCCCGCCTCCAGACGTTGTAGCATGCCTCGGGGCCCTGCCCAGACGGTGCCTTCCGCTCTCGCGGGACTCCCGCTTCCCCTCGTCATGTGGTTTCGCTCTCCCCTTGCTGACTACCTACCAGACCACCCCAACCCAACCCGAAGACCCGAATTTCGGGTTGGGGGGGTTCCACATGTGTTTTTTCGATGTTTCCCGAACCCCCCCCCACTGGAAATCGAGGGTAAATCTGAGCCTTCGGGTTGGGTTGGGGTGGTCTGGTGGGTGGTGACTTGCTGCAAGAGGGGACCCAACCAAACCGAGACCGGCCCCCGACACCGCAAGAATACCGGTCAGGCCGAGCCCCGGCAGGCCTTCCGCTCCGTGTCGCTCGCCTCGCGCGTGGGCAGCCGCAGGCGCGTCGCGGCGCGCGGCCGCTCGCCGGACGCCTCCGCGGCCTGCTGCCGCTCGAGGCCGGCCAGCAGCGCCTCCGCCTCGTGCTCCAGCTGCCGCCGGAGGCGGTCGCCCTGGACGCGCGCGTGCGCGCCAGCCATGGTGGCCAGGTAGCGCTGGACGTGCCTCGCCACCTCCTCTGGGGTCGCGGAAAGGGCATGTAAAACAGAGGGCTAGGATCGGGATAAATCGCTCCAGAGCGTTCCGGAGCGCTCTCAGAGCGTTCCGGAATGCTCTGGAGCGGCCGCGGCGCCCAATACATCCTCCAAACCCGCCGATCCTCAGAGATTTCGAATTATCCCGATCCGATTTTGTCCCGATCTTCGCGTCGTTTTAGCATGCGGCATGCTCTAGCACTGTGCCGTGGAGGCGCACGTCCGGGCCGGGCCGAAGATGTTCGAGCCGAGCGCAGGAGGCTTCCCCCTGGAGGCGCAGGTGCGAACCGAACGCGTAGCACGAAAAGGCCTTGCAGCGCATCGCTGCCGAGGCGGTACGGACATAGAGCTACCGCCGCCGAGCATACACTGTAAGATTTCAAAGCGCGTGAGTCGCCCCTTGCGGGCCGACGCACGCTCAGTATACAGCGTAAATATGTTTGAGGTGATTCCGATCCTTCAGCCAGGAGCCCACGTCCTCGTACTGGCTCGACCGGGGCGCATCGTCCACCACGCTGCTGAGGAAGGAGGGGCTCCCTCGGTACGTTAGCCGCACAGTGAACCTGAGGTCCACCCCGAGGCAGTCGACCGTCGTCTCGCCGACGCCAACCGTCTCCTCGATCTGCGGGAACTTGCCCGCCGTGTCCAGCATCTCCAGCAGCTGCTCGCGGGTCACCGTCTTGTTGCCGACCAGCTCGCTGCGCGTGAGCTCCTCCTCCGTGAAGCCGTGGACGGCAAGGGTGCGGTCGGACTGCTCCTGCAACCACTTCACGAACTTCTCCTCCGTCTCCCACCACTGCACCGTCTGCCCGCGCCCGAGGCCGTCGTGCTGCAGGCGGTGGTACGAGAACCTGCCGCCCACCTGGAGGAACTGTAATGGAGGATGACGATTAATAAATGACCCGGGGTCGTGTTCACGCGGCGGCGCCCGGGATGACGACTAGGAAAAACCGGCCGCGGGCTGGAAAACTATGTTTTACATCGTTCCCCTCCAGTCAGCAACGTGTGCAAAAATAGCAGAAAACTACTTGTTCAATCGTTCTCTCCCATTTTTTTTTATGAACCGTCATCCCGCATCAAGAGTGGCAGAGGCACAGACCGTCAGAGGCCCGCGCGGACTTCTCGGATCGGCGCTGGGCCCCCCGGCGCCGGCGCACGGCGCGCGCCGGCGGCGGCGCCAGAGGCGCAGAGCAGCCGGGGCCGTCGAGCGCAGCGCCAGGAAAGCCGCGCGGAGCTCGGACGTGGCATGTTTAGGTTTACCGTCGGTCGGGGGAAGTGGGCAAAAACATGCAGCAGGAAGGCGTTCGAAATGGATGGGGCGTCTGACTACCTACCAGACCACCCCAACCCAACCCGAAGACCCGAATTTCGGGTTGGGGGGGGTAAGGGTCCCATACGTGTTTTTTCGATGTTTCCCGAACCCCCCCCACTGGAAATCGAGGGTAAATCTGAGCCTTCGGGTTGGGTTGGGGTGGTTTGGTAGGTGGTGAGTGTCTGCCCACCCCCTGAAGAGGAGAGAAAAGGGAAAACCGCTAGACTTTTGAAGTAGGACGGCGCCTGAAGTGGATTGGGATCTGGGAATCCAGAAATACCTACTTTCAACGACCGGCGTGTATGCATCCGCTCTTCTTCTCCGACCACCTTCGCGAGGCCCCAGCCGCAGTAGCCGACCATGTGCTCGTACCTCACGGGCACCTCGAGGCTCTCGTCGCCGAGCGCCTCGGCGACCATGCTCGCCAGCAGCTTGCCGAAGGGCGCGGCGCTGATGCCGTCGAGCGCCTTCTTGGAGGCGGCCGACTGCAGCGCCAGGGTCAGGTTGTGGTCGCTAGTCCTGGGCTCCTCCACGCCCTGATTCCTCAGGAGAAAAGAATTCCACTCGGTCGGGAGAAGTAGACGGAACCATGAAGTAATATGGCGTTGGAGGTAGATTTGGCTTCCGCCCGCCCCCCGAAGAGGAGGGAAGAGGTAAAACCGCTCGAAGTAGGAAGGCGGCTAAAATTGTTTGGGATCTGGGTATCCAGAAATACCTGCTTTCAACGACCGACAGGCACGCATTTTTGGGGAGGAAGAGGAAGAGGAGGAGGAGGAGGAGGAGGAGGAGGAGGAGGAGGAGGAGGATGGAACGCGACTACAGAACCGCACCCGATTCGGCCTCGACCGCTGTGCGAGTCAAGAGGTCGCGAGGCAAACCGGGAACACCACACGAGCCGACCTGCGACAGACAGACTCATGCACTGAGCCATGGCATGACAGATGAGCGAGTGTGCCGCATGCGAAAGGCGAGAAACAAGAGCGAGGAGGAGATCGCGACAGCCTGACAACCGACCCACACGTCAGCTTGAAAAGCGCAGGATACGAACTTGGATGTAGACAGAAATCGCTCTACAAGCGCACGCCGTAACGCGTGCATCGGACCCCGCAGTGCAACCAACCCCCCCGCTCCCGGCAGAATGCGATCCGCGGGCACGGGATGCACCATAACGGACACCATCACACATACTAGTCCGAGGCAGGAGACAAGGAGGAGGAGCAGGCGGAAGAGGAGGAGGAGGAGGAGGAGGAGGAGGCGGAGGCGGAGGCGACGAAGGAGGAGGAGGAGGAGGAGGAGGAGGAGGAGGAGGCGACGGAGACGGAGGAGGAGGAGGAGGAGACGGAGACGAAGACGGAGGAGGAGGAGGAGGAGCAGCGCAGGGAACCGAAACAATGTCCAGAGAACCGAGAGGTGGTGCACGGGAAAAGCCTGAAGCTCCCGAGGAGGCCGTGCATGACCACGAAGCCTGCGAGACCAGGGCGAGGCCGATCGGACGCACTCGTGGCGCACAGAGGTGCGTAGCAGCACCGCTGCAGCCAAGCAGGGCAGGCAGAGAGGGAGGGTGCCGCGCGCGGGCCGGAACCCGAGCGCAGCATGCGGACCGCAGCCCGACGAGGCCGTCGGCGAGGACGGCCAGAGCGTCGGCGTGGAGATAAAAAGGTGCTCCTCCGGCCTGCCTCCGTGGGCGGCGTGCCGCCCCCCCCACCAAAGATACGCCCTCCCCGCTGGCCTTGACCAGGCCCCGTTCGGCGGCAGCCACAGGGCAGCGAGGGGAAGGGAGGGGAGGGACAGGGGAGGCGAGGGGAGGGGAGGGGAGGAGGATCGCTCGCGACGACTGTTGCTCTGAACCACTCGTCGCCCTCCAGGCGGAGGGAAATTCGATTGAAACGCCGAGGAGGGGGAGAGGGAGGGGGGAAAGGAGGCGAGGGAAGGAAGACAGGGAGGGAAAAAAAGCTCTCGCGACGCAGCATGAAGCGAAATCACCCTCAGCAGCTCACCGTGGCCATCTTAAGCTGAATGCACACGACCGACATAAGGCTAGTTGGCGGCGTTACCCTCCTGGGGTGCTGATAGCCGCGTTGAGGCCCACCCTCATCACCACCGCTTGCGCTAGTGAATCTGCGTGGCCCAGCGGCTGCAGCAAGTCCTGCCACCACGCCTCCAACGCGTGCGTGCCTCGGCATCGGCCTGCCCTTCGCCGTCCTCATCAAGCTTCTCTCATCGACATCGAGCCGGCGGCGGTGAGCCACCTCGGTGCCTCATCGGACCTCGGGCGCACTGTCGGAATCTCGCGGGTCGAGGGCGCCGCCATTGGGATCAGTGCCACGAGGGCCTGCGCGGGCCAGGTGGCGCTGGCCATCGCTCGGACGTCCATTCCCTGTGTTTTTTCGGTTTCGAGCGTGGCTTTTTCGCCAAATGATCAAGGATGCTCCTCGATGGTCCTCGCCGAAGGAAAAATGCACACGTCCGAGCGATGCCAAGGGCGGGGCTCGCCGCCGCCATGGGTGCCGCCGCGCCCTGCCTGCCACGTGGCCCGCGCGCGCGCCCGCCCCCGCGCAGCCGGCCGAGGCGCGGCGCGGCCCCGCCCGAGAGCTCGCCGCTGACGCCGGCGGCGAGTCGCCACCGACTCATACAGTCGGGGCGTTGACCTAAGGAACCCTAAATAAGGAACGGGGCCCCTTTCTCCTATAAGTTGAACTTCGATTTCCCATGGAAAACCTCAGGAAAACAGAAGGCAAACTGTAGAACAATCAAGGAACACCGAGCCCCTCCCCAACGAAAAGGGTTCCTTCTGCATGGCCCCGGCTATAGACTTGTGGATGCCATGACAATGGGCACCCTGACAGTTCGATCATGGAATCAAGCATGTGCTTAAAACATATGCCAGACATGTTCTGACCCTCATAGTTTGCATGTTTGAGGCATCCTCAAAACATGCTGGAGACACCTGGACATGATTTGGCACCATGCTCCCTCTCCACGGATCGTCGTCCACAAGCATAGCCGGGCGGGGTCGCGCCCGCGGCGCCCGCCCCAGGCAGCGCCGCGCCCGTGCCGCCGGCCACGCCAGCCGCGCCCGGGCGCCCCGCCGCCGGGAGGCCCGGCCCGGTTCGCGCAGCGCCCGCAGCGCACGCGGCGCCCGCCCCGGTCGGGGCAGCGCCGGCAGCGCCCGCGGCGCCAGCGGCCACGCCGGCGGGGCGTCGGACCAGAAGCGGGGCGAGGGAGAGAGAGAGAGCGGCCGAAGACGGCGGCAGAGGCCTTGGCATCGCTCTCCCCGATGCGCTGGGCGGCAGGCCTGGGTGGCAGAGGCGGGCCGTGGCCGACCATGCGATGGAGTGGATGTCTGGGCGGGAGAGTCCGCCACACAAACATACGTATACATACATACATACATACATACATACATACATACATACATACATACATACATACATACATACATACATACATACATACATACATACATACATACATACATACATACATACATACATACATACATACATACATACATACATACATACATACATACATACATACATAAATACATACATACATACATACATACATACATACATACATACATACATACATACATACATACATACATACATACATACATACATACATACATACATATACACACATGCTTTTATTCATTTATATACAGTCGGGGCGCTGACCTAAGGAACCCTAAATAAGGAACGAGGCCCCTTTTTCCACCATAAGTTAAACTTCGATTTCCCATCGAAAACACAAGGAAACCCTGAGGCAAGCTGAGAAACAATCAAGGAACACGGAGCCCCTCCACAACGAAAAGGGCTCCTTCTTCAGGGCCCCGACTGTATCGGGCGGGCCGTCTCGAGCCTTCAGCCACGGAGGGAAGCACAGATGCACACAGCCGTTGTGCTGCCACAGGGAGCGCCCAGTGAGGCACGGAGGGGCTCCTCTGGCCGCGGCGAGCCTCGGCCACGCAGGGGGCTCCCCGACGTGGGCCCATGGACTGGCCAGCCATCAGCCCTCCTCCTCCTCCTCCTCCTCCTCCTCCCCCCTCCTCCTCCTCCTCCTCCTCCTCCTCCTCCTCTTCCTCCTCCTCCTCCTCCTCCTCTTCCTCCTCCTCCTCCTCCTGGGTCTGTGGACCGGCCAGAGCCCCGCCCAAGCCCGAATTGGTCCTCGGTGCAGCGCCGTGGCCGTCAGCAAACTCTCGGGAGCCCGCACAGGTCGCTCGAATCGGCGCTGCCCCCCTCCGCCCCCTCCGCGGCGCGCGGAGGGCGCTCCAGGGGCGGCGCCGGAGGCGCCGCCAGGGCCGTCGACCGCCGACCCACGAAAGTGTCGCGGGCCTTCGAAAGTTGACCTACGGCAAGGAGGCAAAACAGTGGAACCCCATTCGCCTTCGACCCCGCGTTCGCGCCCCCCCCCCCCCCCCCCCTCCCCCCCAATTTCAGAGTTTGCTCCGGCCTCCCGGAGGCCCCAGGGGGCCCACTTTTTTTGTCCCCTCGCGCCTGCGCTGCCGGATGCTTGAGGCCAACTTTGAAATTGGGGGGGAGCGTGTGGTGTCAAGGGCTCCGCCTTTCTGTCCCTCTACGGCAGGCCACCTAACTTCGCGCATCGCGCCCCGTGGTGTGCGACGCGCGATCACCTTCGCGCCCACGCGCCGCCGCCCTGGAGAAGGGCGCCTCCCCAAGCCAGGCTCCGCTGCCCGATGCGCGATTGGCTTCGCGCCCCTGGGGGATTCCTCCTCCTCCTCCTCCTCCTCCTCCTCCTCCTCCTCCTCCTCCTCCTCCTCCTCCCTCCTCCCTCCCTCCCTCCCTCCCTCCTCCCTCCCTCCCTCCCTCCCTCCCTCCCTCCTCCCTCCCTCCCTCCTCCCTCCCTCCTCCCTCCCTCCTCCTCCTCCTCCTCCTCCTCCTCCTCCTCCTCCCTCCCTCCCTCCCCTCCCTCCCTCCCTCCTCCCTCCCTCCCTCCTCCCTCCCTCCCTCCCTCCCTCCCTCCCTCCCTCCCTCCCTCCGCCCTCCTCCTCCTCCTCTCCTCCTCCTCCTCCTCCTCCTCCTCCTCCTCCCTCCTCCCTCCCTCCCTCCCTCCTCCCTCCCTCCCTTCCTCCCTTCCTTCCTCCTCCTCCTCCTCCTCCTCCTCCTCCTCCTCCTCCTCCTCCTCCTCCTCCTCCTCCTCCTCCTCCTCCTGACCTCGTGCATTTTGGGTGCCATTTGTTGTTCTTCGATTCCTGCGGCAACAGCAGCAGGAACATCCCGTGCAGCATGAGAGGAGCGTCAGCAGTGCCGTCAGGGCCATCGCGGTGAACCACGCCAGCACTGGCAGGCCCGGTCTCAGCCAGACCGGGCGGCAACGGCTCAGCTTGCCATACCCCCCCTCGACCCCGAAGGGCAGCCACGCCACAGACTTGACGGCATCGTCGCCAGCGACGTCCTGGAACTTGAACTGGTCGCTGCCTTCTGCGCGCTGGTCGATGCAGTGCATGAGGAGCGTGTCGAATTGACCCATGATGCCGAGGAAGCCCACGGCAATGGTGCCCGCGTCGCTCCATGGGCCGCAGCTGGAGTGCTTGAACTGGGACGAGACCTGGTCGGCGCACTCCTCGTAATCCTGGTCCGCGCTCCAAACGTCCACCCACTCGTCGACGACTGCCCCCCGCACGCAGGTGCTGCCCCCGCCGTCAACAGAAGTCTTGAGGCCTTCCCACACGCTCTGCAGCAGAGCATGCTGTTTTTTGGCGTCCATCACACCCGTGGGAGTCAAGGCTGGGAACCCATATTCGAAGACGACTGGTTTCATCACGCCAGACACCTCTTCGAGCGCGACGCCATCGCCCTGCGCGGAGCTCCCTTCCAGGTACTGTCGAGCTGGGTGCCATGCCCCAGCGAGATCTAAAACCTTCTCCGCCTGGACGTCTGAGGCGGCAGCGACGACCTTGACGATCCAGGCGTCAAAGAAGCCGCGCCCGTTGAAGCGACAGAAGCTAAAAGTTTCTTTGAAAGTGACCGATATCTCGACCTGGTCCTCGGAGACTTTCCTGCAGCCGAGCACGCGCTCCATCCAGAACATGAGGCCCTTGAGGTAGTCCGCGTTCTCGCTGTAGGTCAGCGAGAAGTCGGGCCCCAGTTCCACCGTCAGCGACAGCGGTCTGTCGAAGGTGAACGGTCCCACCTGCTCGTCCCCCATTTGGCAGTCCAAGGGAACATGGGGGCCCTGCGTGCAGAAGAATCTCTTCTGCTCGGTCCGGATTGTCCGCCGGCCCCCCCATGTGGGGCCTCCAGGCTGCGAGCCGTTTCAGTATCGCTGGCATGTAAACTGAAGTGAGTAGTTGCCCCTGCCCCCCCTTCTGTGAGTCTCCCCCTGGCCCCAGAAGGCTCCTGTAACCACGCCCTGGGCGTCTGCTGCAAACCCTGCCAACTCTGTTTGTCAAATCCGCCACCGTGCCATGATACACGGGTTTCGGGCGCTCTCGGGCACTTCAGGGCGCTCCTGGACGCTTCTTGTGACTACCTACCAGTCCACCCCAACCCAACCCGAAGACCCCAATTTCGGGTTGGGGGGGGGGGGTACGGGCTCCATATGTGTTTGGTTCAGTGTTCCCCGACCCCCCCCCAACTGGAAATGGAGGGCAAAGTGAGGCCTTCGGGTTGGGTTGGGGTGGTTTGGTGGGTGGTGATCTTGGACTTCCAGCGCGAAGTTTTCGAAGCCAAGAAGGGCCCAAGACGGTCCAGGAGGGCCCCTAAGAGGCCCACGAGGCGGTCCACGCGCGCCCCGGGTCGCCCGAGGATCGCCCTAAGACGCCCAGGGTGGCCGGCCTCCCGATGGCCCAAGAGGCCCTCAGGACCAAGAGGACTCAAGAGGCCCCCCCGCCAGGAGGGCCCTGACAGGCCAGATTCATAGGTTCCCCATCGTTGTTTGGAAGATTTCAGCGGTCTCTCCCGTTCGGGCCTTCGACGCTGCCAGATGGCCCACGAGGCCCCCAAGATCGCCCCAGCACGGCCCAAGAGGCCGACGAGAGGTCCCCAGACGGCCGAAGACGGCCCAAGAGGCTCCCAAAACAGCCCCAAGAGGGGCCCAGACGAGGGAAATCGAAGGTGCCAGTGAAGCCAAGATAGCCCCAGAGCTCGCCAAGACGCCCCCAAGAGGCCCCAGGGGGCCCCCCCAAGAGGCTCCAAGAATCCCCTACGAGGCCTAAAGATGCCCCCCAGAGGCCCCCCAGATGCCCCCTAATAGGCATCTATATATGCATGTATGTATATGTATCCCCGCTACAAGGCCAAGATCCCTCATCCGCGCTGCCAATGCTACGGTTCCTCGTAAGACATACTGGGTCCGCGTTCCCACAGTAACGATTCGTCGAACAATACAACGGGTTCGCGCTCGGCCACGACCTCGTACACGGCAATGTGTGCGCGTTCCCACGGCCACGACGCCTGTATAATTGGATCCGCGCTCGCAGGGCCACGATCCCTGCGATACTTCCATGTATCTGAGCTCTCAAGGCCACGATCTATGGTTGATAGCAGGGGGTCCGCGCACCCAAGGCAACGACCCGCAGCAAAATTGCACAGGATCTGCGCTAGCAAGGCGGCGGCCTCTAGCTAGCAAATTACACAGGATCACTGCCCCCAGGGCCACGATGCCTCGTAAATTACAATGGATCCGCACACTCACGGCCAGGATCTCTTCTCAATTACAAGAAGGTAAATCCTCTCAGGGCTACGATTTCGCATGAATCATTCAAGATCCGCGCTTCGAGAGCCACGACCATTCAGCAAGCTACACTGGATCTGCGCAGCCAGGGCCACGATCACTTGTAAATTGCTGTGCCCGCTGCGCTCCCAGGGCCAGGATCTCTTGTGAGATACCAGCAGGGTCCGCGCTTCCAAAGCCACGATCTCTAGCACATTACCCTGGATACGCACTCCCGAGGCCACGATCCATCTTGAATTGCAATGGTTCCGCGCTCCCAGGGCCCAGATACCTGGTAACATACAAGGCGGTTCCGCGCTCTCGCGGCGTCGATCCTCTGCAGGTTCAACGCTTCCTGGGCCACGATCCCTTCTAAATCTCGCTGGGTCCTCGCTCCAAAGGACACGTAAGGACACGATCCATCGTAAACAACAGTGGCTCCGAGTTCCTAGGATAAGAACCCCTTGTAACATTACCCGAGTGACCACAAGTAGTTCCTGCGTGATCCATGCGCGCCCCGAGGAGGATCCAGGAAGCTCCACAAGAACAGCAAGAAGGCCCAGACGTTGGCCTGAGAGGGCCCAAGATAGCATCAATGGGGCCCCAAGGCTCGCTAAGAGATGGGGAGGCCCCGTGAGCGCCCAGCAGGAGAAGGAAGAGATGGAGTACAAGGAGGATGCCGACGACGACGACGACGACGACGACGACGACGACGACAAGGACGGCGACCAGGATGATGACTGGGGCGGGGGGGCCGGCGGCAGTGGCCGAAGGCCTTCAGATCTCCAAGATCTGCTGCAGCTCATCCATCGCGGCGGTGGCGTCGGCGAGCCCATTGCTGTCAAGGCAATTCTTGAAGTTCTTCACAGACGACACCGCACCATCAAAGCACTGTCGCGGCAGAAGGAGCGATATATCAGGAAGGCCCACAATGTTCCACATCAACACCGAACCCGGAGTGTAGGGCTTGCTGGAGTCGACACGCTCCGCTGCATTCTCCAGGAAGTCTCTGAAGTCCAGCTGCAAGCTCGCACTGGTCCCGCCGGCCTGCCAGTTGCCCTCCTCCCAGTACCAGGCGATGTCGAAGGAGGGGATGACGCGGAGCTTGTTCGTCTTGGCTTGCGCCAAGAAGTCAGAGTGGCTCGTGGATTCGAGCGACCATGGGCCAAGAAGCACCGCATCGGCCCCGAGCTCGTTCCTCATCATCGGCAAGTCGCGCCTGTGGAGAGCGGCGTAACTCAGCGTGTAGGGATCTTTGCTGCTTTGGTTTACGAAAACATTCTTGTACCCAATCGGTTCGGGCCAGTACTTCACAGCACGGACTCCACCAATGGGGTTCACGCCGTCGTCCCCGTTCAAAGACACCTCCTGGAGATCGGCGCACCCACACGCCTCCTCAGAACATCCGTCGGCGGGCAACGTCGGCTTGATCTGCACCCAGTCGGCGGCGGCGGGGCTCGTCCAGAGCAGCGTCGCAGCGGCAGACGAGCGCAAGATGGGCATCATGAGGCACGCGGGGAAGAGATCTGGTCTGGTGCCAGAGATACTCCCTGCCTGATCCTCAGTTCTGGGCCACAAAGCTTGGAAGAAAAGCGTTCCAGACAACGATTCGCTGGCATTTCTGTCCAGCAACGTCACGGATGCAGTCAACTGTGCGGGGGGTGGGTGGGCAACGCAAGCGGAAAAAGAAACCGAGAGGGCACGAAACAAGGAAACGCGGCTAAGACCAGTAAATTGACCACGCCGCGAGGAATGTGACCCTGGAGGGGCTATACCCGGGGCGGCTGCAAGCGCAAACCGATATGCTCACACGCGCCTCACTAGAAAATCAGCTGCCGTCCTTTCGAGCTCTGTTTGGAATGTGATGATGCATGGCACGTGCTCTTCAAAACCCGCGATACCGGATACAGAATGACGGAACGCTCCTGGGGCATCCCGCCTGACTTTTCCGGATACAGTCAAAACGTATATTAAGGACGGGTGGTAAGGACGCAAGACCATTGGAGGCCGCAGTTGGGTTTTTAAGGGCGGCGGGCGACCAGTGATAGTGGCAAGGACGGGCCTCAGAGGCAAGGACACAAAGGGTACCCTAGATGAAGGCGCGCGTCCTTACTAGGCGCGTTGACTGTAACTCGGGAGCGTGGCTGCGTGCCTCGACCTCCAGCATGCCTCGGGATGGCCTCGAGGGGCAGGCCTGGGAGTCTCTCGGAGCCCTGGCAGGGCCGCCTTCGAGGCCCGCGGGGGCTGGCCCAGGAGGCCAAAGTCGCTGAACTCCTGCTCGATCTTGCGTGGTTTGCAGTTTCGGACCTTCGGTCTTCAGGCCGTTCAGGGGCCCCCGAGACAGCCATGACCCGCCCAAGACGGCCCCCGAGGACCCCAGAGAGGGGCCCAGGAGGCTCCCAAGAGGGAGAGTTCGAACTGATACTTCATGCCCTTCTTCCCAAGACGGGCCCCCGAGATCACCAGCAGGCCCCAAGAGGACCCAAAAGAGGCCCCCGGTAGGCCCCCAATCCCTCTAAGAGGCGCCCAAGCAGCTCCCATACTTAGAGCCTTCCAAGATGCCCCAATCATGCCTACAAAAAGACCCCAAGAAGCTCCTAAGAAGCCTCTGGTTCACGACCGAATCACGGTGGGGCAATCGGGCGAACGGGACGGCTCTCAAGCAGTCTGGCGGCCGGGACCCTGACGGGCGGCTCGGGGGAAGCCTGACGGGCGGGCCAGGCGGGCGGGACATTGCAGCAAGCGAGAGGGCTTTCAAGCAATCCAGCGGGCGGCACACTGACGGGCGGGTCGGGTGTGCGGGCCTGCGCGCCGGAGAAACCACGACGGCTGCGGCGACGGCGCACACGAGAGCGACGACCACGACGACGCAAACACCGACGACGATCGCCACGACGACGAACGCGACGACCAAGACGACGACGATGAGCCTGACAATGAAGACCGCGACGACGCAAAAGACGGCGGCGAAGACAGACGACGACAACGCACGACGATCAACAAGGCGACGAAGATGACGACAACGAACACGACGACGACAAATGTCCACAACGACGACGGCGACCACGACGGCGCAAACGACAACGACGATGACGACGACGACGACGGCGACGACGACGACGATGACGGCGACGACGACGACGACGGCGGCGACGACGACTGACACGACGCCCACGACGACAAAATCAACGACGACGAGTACGACACCAACGAGGAAGACGACGCAAATGATTCGATTCGCCAGATTTCGATTCGCCTGGTTCCAATTCGTCCGATTTCAATCCCCACGGTCTTATTTTATCTGGCTTCAATTCGTCAAGAGTCGGTCCGTCTGGTTTCGAATCATCTGGCTTCAATTCCCCTGGTCTCAACTCGTCAACGTGCAACTCGCCAGTGTTTAGTTTGTCTAGTTCCAACCCGTCCAATTTCAATTCGTCTAGTTTCAGTTTGTCCAGTGTCAATTCGTCCAACTGAAAGTTGTTTAATGTCAATTAGTCTGGTGTGAATTTGTCTGGCTTGATCCTGTCTGGTCTCAATTCGTCTGCTTTCAATTCGTCTGGTTTCAAGTCGCCAAGTGATAATTCGTCCAACCTAGAGTCGCCTTGTTCCGTTGGGAAGCCAGAGGGCACGTGGGATGGACGACACGAAGGCATAGGGAGCGACGGTAGAACAACGCGAAAGGCAGACGAAACGAAAAGGGACAAAACGACAAACGCACGAAACGAACACAGAGCGGACGAAACGAAAGTAGGCGAAACAGAACGGACGAAGCGAAAGGCACGAAAGACCACCAGTGGTTTGGGCCAAAATGGACACAGACATATGTGACATATGTGTGGTCACCATGTTGATTAAACACGGACCTTGCAACAGAACTGGCATGATACAACGACTGACCACGATATCTGATATCACAAGGTGGATAAAAACAAGAAACCTCGGCCGAAGCAACGTCGGAAGCACAAATGGCGTGCAAATTTGCTCAAGTTCCCCTGGCTCCGTCAACCGTTAGGACAAGGTCGGACACTGAATGTGAAGCTGATTGCGCGATGCGCGAGTCGCCAACGAGGTCGCACCCCCAAGCAGCTTATCGGCCAAAGGATGGTCTGGTGGGCGCCCGCACGTGCGAGCAGACGCGCACGTCTACGTTCTGCGGCTGCGCAGGGTGGCGGCACAGACCCGTAGCGCGCCAGATCCACGGAGTGCCTCCTCCTCCTCCTCCTCCCTCCTCCCTCCTCCTCCTCCTCCTCCCCTTCCTCCTCTTCCTCCTCCTCCTCCTCCTCCTCCTCATCCTCCTCCTCCTCCTCTCCGCCCTCGTGCTTCTCATCATGCCTGTCTGCAGCACTGTCTTTTTCACCTTCGCCTAATAAGGTCGGCAACCACGGGATCGCGGGCCTTGCGCGGCGTCTTCACTCCCTTCGCCTCAGCAAGCTCCGCGGGGATCGATCCACGATTGATCGCGCGAGTGGAGGGAGGAAGGAGGACGGCGCAGAGGGAGCACACGGAATGTCCTCCCTCGTACCAGGACTTCGAGGCGCATGCGGTCCTGGCGACGACGGAAGGGGACACGTCGTTCATTTCCAATCGTGCTCATTTCTAATTGTGCTCGTTTCTAATTGTTCCTGGCCCCCCAGTGGCCAGGAAGAGGCCCAGGATAGAACAATTAGAAACGAAAGGCTCTTGGCCTCCCCAAAAATTCAAAGAAATCTCGAAGAAATGGACATGAACACCGTGGAGCGGCATCGGTCTCCATTCCTCCTCTGCAGCTCGGGAGCCAGGCGGCCGCGGCCCCTCGTGCCCCGTGCTTTATGTCGGGCGTGTCCCCCTACAGGGGGATTTTCGACTAAAAATGAAAAATATCCCCAAAATGCCTATGCCCCAAAATGGTCAAAAACATATTAAAAAAAGATAGTCCCCTGACTATTTTTGGACTATTTTTTGGGTATGTTTTATTTTTCGTCGAAAATCCCCGTAGGGGGACAGGCCAGACTTAGAGCCAGGCGGCCGCGGCCCACCGTGCCCCGTGCCCCGCCCGCCGTCCCCCCCGCGCCCCACAAGATGACTCTCCCCTCGTGGGCCCAGAGGACGGCCGCACCCACGGCATCGCGGCCCGGGCCCCCAGGGGCCGCGAGGCCCCGTGGATAACAGGGGCGCGCTCTCGCGGACGCCCCGCGCGGAACACCTCCGTGCGCCTGCGTCTTCACGGGATCTTGGGAGCGACCAAGGACGGGGGTGTCCAAAAGGGGGGGTGCAAATCATGACCGGCGGCATGCGCGCGGCCCAGCGGGGGGGCCAGGGACGTAATGAAATAAGAAGCGGCGCCATAAAATCTGGGGAAATATCATGGCCCCCGCCATGACATCCCCCCCCCCCCCAGTCATCACCCCCCTCTTTTCCGCCCCCGAGGATCGCGCCCCGGAATCTAGTTGGAGGCCTGGACATGGGCACCAACAACAACACAGGAGGTTTCCTCCACAGGGGGAAGATGACCCTAGAGTTCGGTGTTGGTGGTAATGTTTGGGCCACCTTGGAAGCCAGAATATTATCACCATCACTGGGATCGGGATCTTCTTCCCTCGGTGGATGCACACCGACGGAATTGGTGTTGGTGTCAACCTCTAGGCCTGCGATCTAGACCGTGAGGGCGTGGATATGGATGCGCTCGCCGCTGGTGAGCCTGACGGGCGGGCCGGCGGTGGACAAGCCTCCCTTTAGTAGACCTCCCCTTAGCGAAAACGGCCTGGGACCGAAACCGACGGACCTGGACCCGCAAAAATGACGGCCGCGAGGCCCTCTCGCGAAACGAAAACGGCCAATTCCTTAATCGACGTGTCAGGGTAGGATGTCTGTCCACCCCCCGAGCGGACTCGGGCGCCCGTGGTCTGGTGTCGGCTGTGCTTCCCGCAGCCTCCGCGCGGGCCCCTTGGTGCAGAGCGCCGGAGCTGCGGCCGGAGCTGTGCGACCCGTGGCCCCTCGGGCGCTATGGCGTCCCCATGGCGTCCCCGAGGCCCTCGTCGCCAACACGCAAGAGTGGCCCTAGGCGAAAGCAAATTTTTCCACAGCGACAGTGCAAAGCATGCCTGATGTCCCTGCGGTTGCCTCTCGAGGCGTGCCGCTGAGGATGTGTGAAACGGGAGGGGGAAGCAGAGCAAAGGAGGGCGCGGACAGGGTACAAGAAAGAGATCCTGGATCTGTGTGCAGGAGCCCTATGGCCCAATCGGCCATTTACATGAACCTGTGACCCTGGGCAGGAGCAGGAGCAGGAGGAGGAGGAGGAGGAGGAGGAGGAGGAGGAGGAGCAGGAGGAGCAGGAGCAGGAGCAGGAGGAGGAGCAGGAGCAGAAGCAGAAGCAGGAGGAGGATGAGGAGGAGGAGGAGGAGTGACCCTGCGCAGGAGTGACCTTTGGTGAGCTGCTTGAGGGGGGCCTCCGGGGAGAGGGGGCCAGATCCATGCGCGCAGGCGAATTACTGCGGGGGGGAGACCCTGCGGGCCCGCACCGAAGGTCACTCTGGCGAAGGGCCACTCGGACGCATGGTCGACCTTCGTGGGGTTTCGCGCCGGAGCCCCGGTGCGCATTGCCAGCTGCCTCTCGCGCCTGGTGGCCGTCTGGCGGGGTCTAGGCTGGATCCACGTGCTCGTAGCCTCTGGCTACTTATGTTATGAGGAAAATCCTGGAGGCCTCGCGCGGCAACTTGAGACCCGATTCACGTTGGACTTACGTTGGGTTCAAGTCGGACTACGTCGGATTCACGTCGGATTTACGTCGAACTGACTCTGGAGCATCGCCGAGCGAGCGTCGACACAGTGGACTAGATCATACTACTATTAAGCGCCGCGCGAGGCCTCCAGGATTTTCCTCATAACTTATGCCCTGTGACGCCCTCGTGGCCCCGTGATGGAGCTGCACGCTGCGGCAGTAGTGGAGTTCCTTGCAGTCTCCCTTGCATTTTGACACTGTTTTGGCCCTTCGGTGGAGCGTGAGGATGCGACCCGAGCACCTGCAACACTGCCTGGCGGAAGTTGACAGAGTCAGCGGGCCCATCGTCACCTCCATCCGTGCTGACCACCACGGCAAATCCGTCTGGAGAAAACGTGGCATATGCTGTCGGAACCCAGAGGGTCATAACTCTGTTCGAGGGTGCTCTCGGTGACTGGATCCATGTTCGTGTGTCTACATATTGGACTGGGGCGCACTCGACCTCTCGTGCCTCGTGGCCATCCGGCGTAACGTCAGGATTGGACAGGGCAACAAGTGGCCCGTGTGCTCTCGTGAATCGTGGCCGCCTCTTGTCCTCCTAGATGGGGTCGGAGTAGATCGGGTCGGGAGATCGCGCCGCATCGCCGATGCATCGGCGATGCATCGCCGATGCATCGGCGCCTCCCCGTGGTAGCCCCTTGAAGTCGCTTGGCGGGTGGACTCGGCCGCCCGCAGCCCGCCGTCGCCCGCCCCCTCGAGGCCCGGCCGTGGCCCTCGTGAGCTGCCCCCTCGCGGCGCGCTCGAGGCCCTACGCGGAGCCTCGCTACATCGGGCTGCCTACCAGACCACCCCAACCCAACCCGAAGACCCGAATTTCGGGCTGGGGGGGATGAGGGTGCCACGCGTGTTTGTTCGATGTTCCCCGACCCCCCCCCCACTGGAAATCGACGGTCAATTTGGGCCTTCGGGTTGGGTTGGGGTGGTTTGGTGGGTGGTGAACATCGGGCTGCGTGGGCAAGGCGAGCGACGATCCGAAACGGGTCCTGCGCGGGATGGCACAGCGACCTTCCGCCACAGCCTGTGCCGGCCTCCAGCGCGCGGCCTTACGCGGGCACCTTAGGCACGAATGTCGCCGCTGTCGCCCCCGTCTTATGCCATCGCTCGGGTGGACATCGGCAACGGCCTCTTGCGCCTCTCGTGGCCCCCCCGCGGCCCTCCGGCAGGGCCAGGGCTGGGCCAGGGCGCCTGCGTGGCCCGTGGCACACCTCGTGGCCCTCTCCGCGACCGGCCGACGGGGCGTCGCGGGCGGACCTGGGCGCCCTGTGCCCCTTGACCTCCCGCGCGCCTCTTGACCATGGCTGAGCCTCTCCGCTCCCCTGGTGGGTTGGAGACGGCGCCTGCCCAGCTGAGCGTCGCACCTTCCCGCACCTGACCTTTCTTTACGGCGGACCGGCGGAAAAGAGGATGAACAGCCGATGATAATGCAGCGAAGCGCTGGAGCCACTGGCATGGTCCATTGGTGGGTGTGCTGTGTAGAAAGAGAAAAATGCCATAAACAGAAACGTTTTGGCGCTCCGCGCGGATTTCTTGGATCTGCGCTGGACGCCTCCCTGGCGCGCGGAGCGCGCCAAGGGCGGCGCCGCCAGGGGGACCCAGCGCGGATCCAAGAAATCCGCGCGGAGCGCCAGAAGTTTATGTTTATGGCGCCAGAAGTTTAACACGCTTCCTCTCAGTAACAGTCCCTTTAACCCTCCCAACCCGGCGGCGCAGCGGCGGCTGGCCGCGGCAGCGCAACTGGTTACAGTCGGGGCGCTGACCTAGGGAACCCTAAACAAGGAACAAGGCCTCGTTTTCCCATAAGTTAAACTTCGACTTCCCATGGAAAACCTCAGGAAAACAGAAGGAGCACTGTAAAGCAACTAAGGAACACGGAGCCCCTCTCCAACAAAAAGGGTTCCTTCTTCAGGGCCCCGACTGTAGAGACTGCAGGGCAACACGTCGTGAACGATCCAGGGGAGGGGCGGAAAGGGAGGAGGGAACGAGGAGGGGAGGCGGCCTGTGGAGGAAGGAGGGAGCGGGGTGGAGGGAGAAAAGGAGGAGGTGGGATCCCGTGCCCAGACGTCGGCAAAGGAACCAAGAAGCCTCAGTGGGCCGAAAAATCAATGGCTATGTGTACGGAGATGCTCGCCTATGGAATCTGGAATCTGGGCTTGCTTCCCTTGATCAAGCAGCCTTGCGCACAGGGCCTCATGCGGTCGCACGGCGCTCGGGGGCTGAAGGGAGCGGGCGAGCTGCAAGGCAGCCGCTGAAGAGGCACTGGCTAGGGCAAGACGAGGGGAGCGGACCCCTCAGCGATCGCAGCGCAGCTGCACCCAGGACGTGTGAACTGCGATCGGATGGCCACCCTCAGGGCCGGGAAGGGGGGACCCGCAGCAGCCAGACTGGGCCTCCAGAGGCCAGAGCACAAAATCGACATCGGCCGAGGTTTGGCCACCTCGGCTGGCATCTGTTGCCCCCGGAGGCTCTGCCTGGCTGGCTGGCTCCCGCACACCCGAACGTGTGGCTGGCCAACCGCCCGGCCTGAGCGAGACCCCATCGCGAAACAGGGCCGGATCGGAAACGGATCGGATCGCCAGCGAACCGTCCCGAACCGAATCGAAACGGCATCGCCGCGTCGGGCCCCGGCCGGCCCCGGCCGGTGCCGGCCAGGCACGATCGGACGGCCCTGGGGAGGAGGAGAAGGAGGAGGAGGAGGAGGAGGAGGAGGAGGGAGGAGGGGGAGGAGGGGGAGGAGGGGGAGGAGGGGGAGGAGGGGGAGGAGGAGGAGGAGGAGGAGGAGGAGGAGGAGGAGGAGGAGGAGGAGGAGGAGAGGAGGAGGAGGAGGAGGAGGAGGAGGAGGAGGCGCCGAACCGGATCGGACCGGAGTCGCGGCGCCAGCAGGCGCCCCGAACCGCAGCGCATCGGACGTCGCAGGGCGGCCCGGACCGCGGCGCGAGCTGGCGGCAGGCCCAGAGGTTTCTTGTTCGGCACGTGGCCCCCGAACTCGCACCCGATGGTTTCGAAATTCTTTAATTTTTGTTCGAGCATTTTCTGCCCAGGTTGGAAAGCCTCTGAGGGCCTCAAGGAAAATGTTCAGGCTTTCTTGAGTCTTCATGCCTTCTGGAGGCCTCCTGGGCGACTTCTGGGGGCCTCTGGGGGGGCTTCCTCGGGCCACCCTGCCTCCAACAGCGAACTCTCTGAACGACGGGTCAAGATTTGGAATGCTTCGGACGGTGTCTTGGGGCCATCTTGGGCCGTCATGGGACTGTCTTAGGCCATCTTGGAAACCTGTTGTGCCGTCTTCGGGCTCTCTTGGACTGCCTGGAAGCCCTTTCGGATGTGTTTGGGGGCGATTTTCGGGCCTCCCACGCGGTCTCGGACGCCCAGAAGACGGAAGAACAGGGCATTCCCACGATCATGCAAAAACCTTGGAACGTCAATGTTTTTCTGCATTTGGGGAGCTTCTTGGGGGTCTTCTTCGGGTCGTCTTCGGGTGTCTGGTGGTTGTCTGGGGCCTCTTGGGGCCCTCGGGGGGGGGGGGGCGTTCGGCCGCCCTCCTGACCGATTTGGGCCCGTGGCCTGGGCCCGGCAAGGGCTTCCAGGGGCTGTGAAACGGCTGGGGGCCAGGTCCCCGGAGCCACGGAACCGAGGGGTCCAGAGGGTCCCAGGGGCCCAGGATTCGGGGGGTCCGATTTCGGGAGAGGGGGGAGGGGCGGCTCCCGTGCAGAAATATAGAACTGGCAATGGATATATATATATATATATATATATATATATATATAGAGATAGATAGATAGATAGATAGATAGATAGATAGATAGATAGATAGATAGATAGATAGATAGATAGATAGATAGATAGATATAGAGAGAGATAGATAGATAGATAGATAGATAGATAGATAGATAGATAGATAGATAGATAGATAGATAGATAGATAGATAGATAGATAGATAGATAGAGAGAGAGAGAGAGAGAGATAGATAGGTACTCCCCCGAGGCAGGAAGCCTGAGACGAGGCCAGGACGAGGATGGCATCGGGTGAAGGTAAGTCGAGCGTCTCTGAGATCCAGCGGCTCTGGAGGATGTCTTGGGCGCCGCGCTTCCTCAGAGCGCTCCGGGACGCTCCGAGAGAGCCTTCCAGCATGCCCTGGAACGGATTGATCCTCGCCGCCGCCGAAATAGGACGGCAGCAAAGCACGGCCTGGGTGGCTGCCCACGCGCTGGGAGGCCCTGCCCTCCGCCCCGCCCCGTCGCGCACGCGGTGGTGCTTCCCGGCGCGAGCGCGTCCGGGGACGGCGGGGCGCGGTCCGGCAGAGGCCCCCGGGCGGCGCCCGCGCGCGCCGCCGAGCCCCCCACCACGGCGGAGGGCGGCTGCCGGGCCTCGGCCTTCGCCGCGGAGACGTGGATCCGCTGCCTTTTTGGGGAGGTCGGCGATCCTCAGAACGCGTGCGAGCGCCAGCGCTGCTCGGCCACTCCAGTCGAAGTTCTTCGCGCTGTGAGTGGAGGGGGAGGAGGAGGAGGAGGAGGAGGAGGAGGAGGAGGAGGAGGAGGAGGAGGATAAGGAGGAGGAGGAGGAGGAGGAGGAGGCCCTCCGCGGCCGCGCTGCGCCTCGGCCCCCCCCCCCCCCCCCCCCCCCCCAACGAGTGCGTGCCCGAGCCCAGCTCACTGGAGCGCGCGGGCGGATCGCCCCTGCCGCGCTGCGGCGGAGAAGTTCGCGCCCGCGTGTGCTTGTCCACGGGAGCCCTTCGCAAGGGCTCCCAACTTCGCGCTTCGCGCTGCGCGAAGCGCGAAGCGCGAATAACTTCGCGCTCTCGCGCCGCCCCCCCAAAGGGAGAATAGGAGGACGAGGAGGAGGGGGAGGAGGAACGAGGACCGCGAAGCGCGAAGCGCGAATAACTTCGCGCCCTCGAGGGAGCCCTTGCTTCGGTGCGACGCGGGCGGTGCAAGTAGGGGCCGGCGCGAGCCGCCCAGCGGAGCTGAACGGGGAGGCACGCATTGGGCTAACACGCGTCCTGAGGACCATCGAGAAAGGCGGGGGGATGCTTCTCTCTCTCTCTCTCTCTCCTGGCTACTCCATGCCACCACATCGCTCCGCGTGGCTGGCGCAGCCGTGCTGCGCGCTGCCTTCCTGCTTCGCCGTCGAGCGCTCTGCTTTCGTGCTTTTCCCCGGCGGGGTGCCACCTGCGCGCTCCTTCTGCCCGCGCACTCCTGCCGCAAGCCCGGTGCAGTGAGACGGCAGTGGTGCCCCGGCGCCGTGCCGAGGGCGGGCGCGTGGCTTCTGCCCTTCTACAATGACGATGCGGAAGGGATGGCCCGAGCAGCGCAGCAAACTCGAGAGGTGGTGGACGGGCGGCCTTCGGAAAGGGCAGGGGGGCTGAGCACGTCTGTGGGGCTCCTCCTCCTCCTCCTCCTCCTCCTCCTCCTCCTCCTCCTCCTCCGCCTCGGTTCCTTGGGGGCGCCCGGGGGCCTCTGGGGCGCTGTTTGGTCCCCCCTCGACAGAGTGCTTTTCAGCGCAGCTCGAGAAGGGGGAGAAGGGAGCGGACACCCCCGAGCAACGATCTTGGCGAGGCCAGCGTGCAACCGCAGTGCGATCAGCAAGAGGCGAAACGCACAAGGCGCAGAGAAGTGTCCAGCCAACGTGGTCGCAATTGTGGCTCTCGCCCCCTTGAAAGATGAGGTCGACGATGATCAGTGCAGAGATGACTCCTGGCAGTACCCTCGATGAAAAAACGGCACTTCTGCTTTGAATTGTGGGTGCCACGACAATGGGCACCCTAACAGTCCTGTCATTGAACTTAAAATGTGTTTAAAATGCAAGGAACATGTTCTAAACATGTTTTACATATGTGAAACACATGTTTAACACATGTTCTAGACATCTGGAAATTATTTGCCAACACGCTTGCTCTCCATTGATCGTGCCGCCCCACGCGAGTGTGCCCCGATCTCCGCAAGACTGCCTGGAGCGCCCGCCTGACACGGCAGCGGCACCAACACCAACACAGGGGATTGCCCCCACAGGGGGGAAGATGATCCCAGATTTCGGTATTGGTGGTAACATTTCGGCCACCTTGGAAGCCAGAGTATTACTGATGCACTGATGCACTGCTGTGTCACAAGTCCACTCTAGGAGCAGAGAGCGACAACAACTTTTATAGACGGGAGGCTAAGGCGACGCTTACGGAGAAGAAGGAAGGCCGAGACGGAGGGAGGAGAGAGGGAAAGAGGAGAGTAAGCGACGCCGAAGCCCCAAACCCAAACTCTGCCTAGACTGGTCCCAGGACAGGGTGGGAGATCGGGATCCTCTTCCCTCGGTGGAGGCACAGCGCCGAAACTGGTGCTGGCGTCAACCCCCAGGCCTGCGAGGCTGCCCCGTCCCACCGCCCTGCCCCTCTCTGCGCGGCGGTGGCCGCCGCCACACATGCCTGCTGGACGCTGCGGGCGCTGCGGCACCCAAGCCTGCCCGAGGAGCAGAGGAGGGCGTGGGCGAGAGCACGAGCACCCTCCTCGGGTGTTGCCAGAAGTGCCCCTGGCCCAAGGTGCCCCCCAGGATCCGCGGGGGGTGGCCCAGACGGCCTCCAGGGCACCCCCAACGAGGCCCAGAGGGCCCCAGGGGCCCAAACATGGAGTGAAAAGCTGGGGGCACCTTGGGCCAGGGGCACTTGTAGCAACAACCCACCCCTGCAGAAGCCCACCTTGGCGAGCCAGCGCGCCCTGCCCCTGGGGAACGCCCCCCCTCGAACGCCGTGGCCGTCGGAGCCCTCTGCTGCCGCCCGGGAGGCCTCCACGTGCCGTCGCGTGCCAGAATCCGGTGCCGCCCTGCGGCTAGGCGGGGGCCGCCTCGGGAGCCGCTCCGGGCCATCTGGGCGCTGTGCTTCCAGGCCTCGGAAAAAAATAGCGAACCCTCATGCCACATTCATCTGTGAACGCCTCCCCCTCCTCCCAAATGTTCAAAGTTGGCGGTGGGTCTGAGGAGCTGCACCTCGACCGCAGTCTCCCCCGCGCGTGCCAACCTTGAGTTTGGGGGGCAGGGGGGGCGTTCACTAGTGAATTGTTTCCCTCTACCGTCGCGCCGTCCTGGCGCCGCTGGGGAGGTCCACCGGCTCTGCGCCCGCGGGGCGGCGACGGGGCCTGGCAGTCTGAAAGGAGGGCTCCCAGGGCCACGGGGGGCCCCTGCCCAACTACAGTCAAAACGTATATTAAGGACGCGTGGTAAGGACGCAAGACCCTTGGAGACTGAAGTTGGGATTTTTTTGGGCGGCGGCGACCAGTGAAAACGGCAAAGGACGGGCCACAGAGGCAAGGACGCAAGGGCATCCTGGATGAAGGCGCGCGTCCTCACTAGGCGCGTTGACTGCATGCAAGGGCACCCTCGATCTGACATGGCCGACCTGCCAATCAGGGCCGGCCGTAATCAGGTCTGGCTTCCAGTGCCAGCGCCTCGGCTACGAGTCCGGAGCCTGCAGGGCGCGGGGCGGCTCGCGTCGTCGGAACGACGGTCTGACAGGTCATTCCGACAGCTCTGCTCGCCACGCGATGGCAGTCATCTGAGCGGCGATCAGAAACGGGTCTTACGCGAGGTGACACGGCGACCTTGCGCCGCGGTTTACGCTGGCCACCAGCGCGGCACGCTGCTCTGGAGACAAGGGCGCTGACGAGCGAGCTTGCGCAGGCAGCTCACGCGCCAACGTCGGCGCAAACGACCCCGTTGCGTCGCTCAAGTGTCACGTGCGCGCCCAAGCTCATACAAAAAAATGGGGTCACCGATGGGCACACCAAGAGGGCCCCAACAGATGATGTTTCATTCTTCTTCTGGCTCCAGAGGGGCAATGCCGACTGAGCCCCCCTTCAAAAACCGATGTCCTCTAATATTGCTCCGGGAAGACTCAAGGCCGGCCCCAAGTGAGCTCCAGAAGATCTCCAAAACAGGAACCTCCAACATAGCCCTAAGAAGTCCCCACGATTACCCCAAGAGACCTCCAAGAGACTCCCAGAGCGAAAGACAGATTTCGCCAGCGAGACTTATTTTGCAGGATATCTGAAGCAGCGAGTGTAAGCATCGGCATGGAATTTCTTGACATCAGTAACTGTCAACTTGCTTAGATGTTTTCCCTCGAGATCGCTGGCCTGTAAGATCAGATTCGTGACAACACTAAGTAGAAGGAGCCTGGGGACAAACGAATCAGTAGACACAAGTCTCGTATCTCAATGTTCCACATGTTTTCCATATCTCCTGGATGTTCGTCTTCCCCTCCACTTCCTATAATTTCCATCTATTTCCCGGGGAATCGACGAGTATATGTTTCTATGTGTTTTCCCGTCTTATAAGTCTGAAGGGGCCCCAGGACACACGAATAAATACACACAAAAAACAGGATTCCCCATATTTTCCTATATTTTCTGGGTTCTTGTCTTCCCCCCCACTTCCCATATTTTCCCATATTTTCCTCGGGATCGACGATTCATTGTGTCTGTGTTTTTTCCCCTGCTGAAAGTCTTCG